TATATATTGTATAAATTACTTGCTTATTTACAAGCATTTAATCTATTAACTTAAAAAAAACAAATGTTCTTTGTTACTTTATAAGAAATAATTACTTACTTAAATACATTTCATAGTTATTTTAACCAATATCTACCATAAATGTAACATTATACTACTACTTTAAAATATATTTAATTCATAAAAGTTATAAGATTTTCCATCAGCCAGAAAATATATTAATTTTATATTTTTTTCAATATTGATAAAACAATTTTAAAATCATATTTTAATATGAAATAATTAATCAAATAATATACATTCATAATTATTTAAAATCTTTGAAAAATTAGTAAAATACAGTAATACCCTGAACTTACGCGATAGGTGGGACCAAGCGATAATCGCATAAGTCGAATTCGCATATAATAATTAATTTGCATAAGTCGAATTTGCGAAGTCAGGGTATAGTTTCGCAATTTGTGTAAAATCCAAGTTGGATATATGTAAGCTAATAAATGTTCTTGTTAATCTTATCTCGTCTTTTGATTCGTTAACAGTTACAAGAAATCACCACATAGTCTCTCAAGCCTCCATAGATATAACAAACACAGAAATAGCTACAATTTATTTTGTGTTATTTATGTGTCGGTTCTGCGTGACACATCCAAACATGTAAGCTGAACAATAGTGTGGGGCGAGTGAGTAATCATCAATTGCTTGGCGCTCAAACAAAAGACGAATCGACGAGATTTGAAAATAGCATAACTCCGGATTCGCGTAAGTCGGGGTAGCGTAAATCGAGGTATTACTGTATAGCCAAAAAATATTATTTGATTAATTAAATAAAGAAATTTCTGTAATTGTAAATTACAGAAATTTGTACAGTAACATAATACAGGTACACCGTTGAATTTCCTCACCCTTGATTCCAAAGCATTGCCAGATTAACCATTTTGCTGGACCAACTATGATCTTGTATTATAGTAAGTCATCAACACATCTCTGATCCACTAATTATAAACCACCTATGTGCCTAAGTAGACCTCAGACTTGCCTGAAACTTGGATTGATATGGACTGCTGTTTATGTTTGACACCACTACTCACAATCTCATCTTTCAGAATATAGCTAGGGTTAAGTTTAAGCAAAATGAACTGAAAATATCATAAAAATTACAATGTGGTCACCAACATGTGCAGTATGAATAATGTTAATAAGTGCTGCAATAAACTAGTCTGATAACTGCAAGAATTTCAAGTTAAAGAAGGTGCTGGACTATCAGTTGCTGGAAATTCAGTGGTGCACCTGTACATGATTTTTTTGGTGACAAAAACCCCATCCTATGTAATGTAGCAATATCAAGAAATTTGTTGATCAAAATATAAACAAATGATTTAGATATAATAATTTCAAATTATAAACTGTCAAAACTGAATGCAGTTCAAATAAATAAATATAAATGAAATATATATGTATATTTTTTTAATCTAATGATAACAATATTTTTAATGTAGAACTAGAAAAAATTTAAAGCAATAAAGACATACAATCAATTTAACAGATTTTTTTTTCTGGAAAATAGCAAAAAATTTGCAAAATAATACAGATAAATTATATATAAATAAAACAATGTGAACATATTATAATGTAATCAGAAACAATTACGAACAAAACAATTTTCTACATAATTATTCAGTAAAAAAAAAAAAAAAGTTACTTTTCGCAAAAATCTTTTTCAAATTTAAAATTATTTTAAAATAAGACTATCAATATTTTTAGATTATATATATAATGTCAACTAACTTTGCCAAAAAGTAGGGCCTAAAATATAATTGTTCTTAATCAAACATCCTTACTACACCCGATATGTTATAGCCGTTTCTAGACTAATAATATTCGACTTTGGTTGATTTATTATATAATCAGGGCTGTGGAGTCGCGTAAAAATCTACCGACTCCAACTCCGACTTTTCCTTATCAATCCGACTCCGACTCCGGCTAAAACACCAAAACTCCACGACTCCAACTCCGACTCTTCCTTACCATCCGACTCCAACTCCGGCTAAAACACCAAAACTCCACGACTCCAACTCCGACTCTACAATCCTGCCAGGGCTGTGGAGTCGAGTAAAAATCTACCGACTCCAACTCCGACTCCGACTTTTCCTTACCAATCCGACTCCGACTCCGACTCCGGCTAAAACACCAAAACTCCACGACTCCAACTCCGACTCCACAATCCTGCCAGGGCTGTGGAGTCGAGTAAAAATCTACCGACTCCAACTCCGACTCCGACTTTTCCTTACCAATCCGACTCCGACTCCGACTCCGGCTAAAACACCAAAACTCCACGACTCCAACTCCGACTCCACAATCCTGCCAGGGCTGTGGAGTCGAGTAAAAATCTACCGACTCCAACTCCGACTCCGACTTTTCCTTACCAATCCGACTCCGACTCCGACTCCGGCTAAAACACCAAAACTCCACGACTCCAACTCCGACTCCACAATCCTGCCAGGGCTGTGGAGTCGAGTAAAAATCTACCGACTCCAACTCCGACTCCGACTTTTCCTTACCAATCCGACTCCGACTCCGACTCCGGCTAAAACACCAAAACTCCACGACTCCAACTCCGACTCCACAATCCTGCCAGGGCTGTGGAGTCGAGTAAAAATCTACCGACTCCAACTCCGACTCCGACTTTTCCTTACCAATCCGACTCCGACTCCGACTCCGGCTAAAACACCAAAACTCCACGACTCCAACTCCGACTCCACAATCCTGCCAGGGCTGTGGAGTCGAGTAAAAATCTACCGACTCCAACTCCGACTCCGACTTTTCCTTACCAATCCGACTCCGACTCCGACTCCGGCTAAAACACCAAAACTCCACGACTCCAACTCCGACTCCACAATCCTGCCAGGGCTGTGGAGTCGAGTAAAAATCTACCGACTCCAACTCCGACTCCGACTTTTCCTTACCAATCCGACTCCGACTCCGACTCCGGCTAAAACACCAAAACTCCACGACTCCAACTCCGACTCCACAATCCTGCCAGGGCTGTGGAGTCGAGTAAAAATCTACCGACTCCAACTCCGACTCCGACTTTTCCTTACCAATCCGACTCCGACTCCGACTCCGGCTAAAACACCAAAACTCCACGACTCCAACTCCGACTCCACAATCCTGCCAGGGCTGTGGAGTCGAGTAAAAATCTACCGACTCCAACTCCGACTCCGACTTTTCCTTACCAATCCGACTCCGACTCCGACTCCGGCTAAAACACCAAAACTCCACGACTCCAACTCCGACTCCACAATCCTGCCAGGGCTGTGGAGTCGAGTAAAAATCTACCGACTCCAACTCCGACTCCGACTTTTCCTTACCAATCCGACTCCGACTCCGACTCCGGCTAAAACACCAAAACTCCACGACTCCAACTCCGACTCCACAATCCTGCCAGGGCTGTGGAGTCGAGTAAAAATCTACCGACTCCAACTCCGACTCCGACTTTTCCTTACCAATCCGACTCCGACTCCGACTCCGGCTAAAACACCAAAACTCCACGACTCCAACTCCGACTCCACAATCCTGCCAGGGCTGTGGAGTCGAGTAAAAATCTACCGACTCCAACTCCGACTCCGACTTTTCCTTACCAATCCGACTCCGACTCCGACTCCGGCTAAAACACCAAAACTCCACGACTCCAACTCCGACTCCACAATCCTGCCAGGGCTGTGGAGTCGAGTAAAAATCTNAAATGAAATAGAACAAATTTATTTTAAAAATTAAAAATCAAAAATTTAATTATTATTTTACAAAATTAATTTGACTTATAAATAATAAAAATGTGAGTATGTGGTAATTGTATTGTTTTTGAAAGATTATTTTTGATTTGTGTTTGTACTACAGCTTTACTTTATATAGAAGCATTTGCCTTCAAGATACTTCTTCACAAGTTCAATATTAATGAAAGATTAAGAATCCTCAATTTTAAAAATTATTATGTTGATTTTTATATTTAAAAAAAAATAACTTTCATTTTAAAAAACTTCAATTGATGAAGCAATTTTTAAAGTTAGAAGAAATATATCAGTAATAATAAGTATTACTAAAGACAATCACTGCCATATGTCGTCAGGTTGTTTAACGGCTATAATACTAATAAATTACCACTCAAGTGGTTGGCTTTAGTAGTATAATGTATTGGGTTTTCGTAGAGTTGTTTGTTAATAATAAATATTATTAAAAATTTAATTTCAAACAGAAAAATAAACACTATTCTAATAAAGAGATCTGTTTATTGCAGGTATAAAAAATGTAACAAGAAATTGACATATGATTTAATTTCAAGTTTTCACAAAGTGTCTAAACATTAATCAATACATAATTAAAAATTTACATTACTAAACATAAATGTAATAGAACCTGCACTAAATTACTTAAAACATTAAAAATTTGATCATAATTATAAATTATAATTAAAATATTACTATTAAATTGTGGCAGATATTTTTTGAAGAATAAACTTACATTGAAAAAGTTTAAATAATAAATTCATATTATATATCTCTATTAAAACTAAGTGATCAAAATTTTGTCTAAACCTACTTATATTCTATTTATAATTAATGAAAATTTAAATTCTTATGTATTAATATTCACGCATTCACTTATCACACGGAAAATAAAAGAAAATCTTTATAAGAAAACGTACATATTATGTTAATTTTATCTATAAAGTTTAATTTAAAAAAAAAAAAACAGTTAATTAAACTGATAACTACTTAATATATTCAAAATATCACTTATGGTAGCTGCTATTTCGTTGTGAATTTGTCTCTTTAATCCGATCAAATCAGTTCGATAGACTATCACATACAGCTTATATAGAGTTCGGTAGACTATCATATAGAGCTGTATATGATAGTCTACCAAACTGATTTGATCGGATCAAAGAGACAAATTCACAACTTAATATATTAACAAAAAGAATACAAAAAAAATTTAAAACTTGCCAAGATGATTATCCATTTGACACAACAATTTAGGAACATTTTCATCTTTCTCATCATCTTCGTTCATAACCGGAGCCATATTCCATATAACAATTCTCCCTGTATCGGCACCTAAACCAACACAAAAGCCATATTTACATGTAAAACTGATGAAAGAAAATCAAATGAACTGTTTGACACAATAAAAAGTGTAAAAAAAAACATAAGAGAATATTAAATGACAATGAATTTTAGTTTATATACCTTGACCTCCAGTTGCAAATCTTGAGCCATCAGGATGAATATCCACAGAAAATATAGGATGACCTGTTAAAATTCTCATGTATCAATCACACAGAACAAAAAAAAATAAACAGAATGTTTTAAATTATATAAAAGATACATTTATAAGGTGTTAATTAACTAAAATGACACAAAATTGTTATATTTATTTGTTACTTTTAATGCTTAATGCAAATTGTAAGCTCATAAATTGAGATGAAAATGTTAACAAAATTTCTAATTGTATTTAATATGTGTTTATTTAAATTCATTGGAGTTTTATTTAATATTTCTTACCGTCGTGTGAAACCCAACTGGGTTTTAAAAGTCTCATGTTTTTTTTTCTAATTAATAAATGTTTCTTTCAAAAATACTAAAAATATGTATCTAATCAAATAAACATGATCATTATTAGAATAGAGAGGTTTTTCTTATCGCCTCCTAACTGCCATTTTGTTTCTTGCTTATGAAACGTGAATTGGATGGCAACGTTCGACAGTCACTAAACGAGTTCGAATTTTAAAAATAAATTTTTATCGTGAAAAAGCATAAGGAAAATATTTTATTTACTCTTATTTTTTTAATTAAAGTAATAATAAAATTTTATGGTTTATGTATATTTTTAAAATGTATTATAGTTTTATAAAATAATAAAATTTTTATGATTTTTTTCTAGATTTTTATTTAATGAAAAATTCATTTCTTATATAAATATACAAAATAAAATATTATTATTATGTTCTATTTTTCTGTTTATAAATCGATCATGCAATTCTTTTATCTTTGACTTTTGCCTCCCAGATCGTCGGATGGCCGAGGCGTCTATCGTTCTGGAGAGTGGGAATCGAATCTTGATTAGCAATTCCAGAAATTTTTCGGGGTTGATCTTTCCTGGATATATAGGATCCGTTCCTTATCACCTAGTCGTACACATACATACACATACAATTTTAATACTTCCTTTTGTTATATATACATAACAGCCAGGAAAGGACGGTCGGAGGCTGAGCGGTCAAAATGGCACCCTACCGTTCTGGGTACCCGGGATCGAATCCGAATGGGTCAAAAAATCCCCAGGGCTTTTTCGATGGTGTGGTCCGACTTCGAAGGCCCCTTGCTCACCATCCAGCCACCCCATTGTAGGTATGACAGAACACATAATAGGCTTGCTAAAAGAGACACCCTTTTAGCACATGGGGCGGAAAGAGTTAAATTGTATATGTATTGATTGTATATGTATATATATAGATTAAAATCTGTGGATATATACATATCCACGGAAAATTTTACTTTTCTGTGTTCAAGGGACCCAATCTCAACTTGGAGATTTGCAAAAACTCAGAGAGTATCTTAATTGACGCCAACACTTTCCCATGTTGTGCATATATAACAGCCAGGAAAGTAAAATTATTTTCTTTCGCTGCTATTTAGTAAACGGGCCCTTATAAAGAGGGAAAATGGTCCGGCCAAAAAAACGGAGGACAGTTGACATGATTATGCTCATGGTCTCCTAGTTTCTTTATGAAGATTTTACTTTCAATTTTTACCCAAGGTCTATATATAAGAAAGTCAGGACTAGGGAATTCGATCCCGGTCCTTATTTCTAATCCCGGGATTTCGGGATTATACTTATTCAATCCCGGAATTATTTCGGTATTGAGGGTTAATAAAAAATAAGAAAATCTTACAGAAATCAACAAATCAAAATTTAAACAAAAATCAACGTATTTTACGGTATACACCTAGCTAATTTAGTCACTAACTAATCAGACTTAGAGTCAGACTAACCAGACTTAAAATCACTCCGTCTTCATGTTAAACATCACTGAGATCTCTTTAAACTCACATAAATTGAAACTCACAAAATAGTTTGTTACATAAAAACCTTTATGTAACAAACTATGCAAATAAACGTTGAAAATTCACAAAAATCTCTCTTAACATCGACTAAATAGACTACTTTCATTTATAACAACCTAGTAAGTAGGTAGTAAAGTAAGTTTCTTAGCAAAATGTATTTAAAAATAATATTAATCAGTCACATTTTTCTTAAATATAAAGAAAACTAATCTAATAGGAACATTTTAATTTGAATTGCGAAAATATGATCTGAGAAATAACAACGCATCCTGTGTCTCATCACCAAGTCTGCTTCTCAATTTGTTGCACATATATGCAGCTGCTGAGAAAACGCGTTTAGGTTTGATGGAAGTTGGAGGAATCGTTAGTAAATACTTATAAGCCCGTTCTAGTTATAGCTTCGAGGACACGGGGAGGTTGGAAGAAAACAGTCCGGTCGACACAGATCGGGATTGTAGGAGTAAAGGCTACAATCCCGATTGTTTCGATCATTGTAAGCATGCCTTTCTAAAAATAAACACGTTAATTTTGTAAATTCGGTCTCTGTGTGAGTCTCTCAGCATCCAGCAAACCACTACTCCCAAACGTAAAAAGACTTTCTCGCATCATCCTGACAGATCACGGGCAAGGCGGGGGTCGTAACCTTTTCACCTAAGGTCGACCCCCCTAAGCGAGAGGCGTCGGGTCTATATTAACCACACTGGCAAAACAAGATGGCTGACACATTGACAGGTAAAACGCACTGAGTAGTGCTCTCGACTGCGCCAGAAAATCGATTGGCGCCCGCGAAAATTCAAAAATACAAAAATGAAGTATATTACCAAGTAACCCAGTGAGAACTGCTTGCCTATCATTTTAGTTGAAAATACAAGAAGTTTTATTCCAAGCAAGCATCGCAAGCCCGCTAGGTTAATTTCTGCTGCTTGCTTGGAATAAAATTTCTTGTATTTTATATTAAAATGATAGACAAGCAATTCTGTTAAAAGCACTGGCACTGAACGTTTCGCTTCATGCAGTCTATTTTGTAACTTTTTTTAAAATGATACCAATCCCGAAAATCTCGGGATTAGGAAAACTTAATCCCGAAAATTTTGGGACTGAAAAGTGGTCGGGATCCCGGGATCCCGATTTTCGAGATCCCTGGATCAAATCCTCTAGTCAGGACACGCTTCCGTGATTCTATGCGGCAGAGGCCATTTTGGGACTTATCGATAGACTACACTCCACACTTAGTTCCTACGTGAATCGACTATGATTACGTATATAAGTACTCAAAACTTTAAACAATGGATTATTGTGTGACACTAAGTTCTAAAAGTAAATCTACAGACGTTCGATTGTTGAGATTTCCTGCAGATAAGCAGAGGAAAGAAAAATGTAGCGTAGACATCAACGGATGGTTCATGATGCAGTTCAAAGAGTTTATATATGTAAAGTTTGTAACAAGTGATTTAAATGGATAATCTAAGTGTCCATGAACGAACTGTACATGGAAATTTAAAAATGACATTGGCAATCCAGATATAAAACAGATGTAATTTTTTTTTTCACTTTTCTATTTGATAATAAAATAATTTAACATATAATTGTTTTAATATGACCATATTGTATTTAAAAATAAAATTATGATGATGGTATTGACTTATACTCTCAATATTTATTAATAATATTTAATAACTGTTTCATAAAAGAAATACGAGTAAAGATAATCGCATAGCTCTCAAGACACTTCCTCGTTCATTTTTATGCAATTTTGAACTTACCTGTTCAAAATTGCATAAAAAGATAAGCGAAGTCTTTAGTGCAATTATAATTCAATTAAATTCTAAATTCAAAATTTAACGTCGTAATGAATTTTTCATCGTTAATTAAAAATAAAACATTTTTTTTTTTGGATAATTATTAAATAAATTGATCCAAACTGGCGTATTCCTGTATACATTACAGAATTTACATTAATTTTTCTACAGAACAAAACATTTGTACTTGCTTACCTTGTAAATGGAAGTTATGAAATCAATAAAAAAAAGCAGTTAATAAGGTAAAAATTTATAAAAAAAAACATTTATTATAGTATTATTAATTTTTTTTATCATAGCACTTGAAATGTAAATTAATTTTAAATATTTTCCTTCAATTAAAACATATACAGTACTATATATATATAATATATTATATGTTTAAATTGCAATACAGTGCACAAAAAGTGACCTCTTTAAATATATCTTATATATATTTAAAGTTTGTATGTTTAAATTATATTTTATGCTCTATAAATGAATTATAATAAATTATTTTTTAATAGTAATTTTCATTTACCATTTAAAACTATAATACTATTAGAGAATCATTTTAAATGATTCTTGAAAAAGCTGATTTAATAATTCATTCAGAAACTTTCATTCAGAACATTTAATTTATTAAATACCTTTTTTTAACATTAAAATATTACATCCATTTTATTCAGATGTATAAAAAAGTAAACATTAGAAATTATAACATTTTTATAATGTTAATTTCTTTCACGTTACTTTTTATTTCATTAAGTATGAATTAAAACAAATAATTTTTAATTATATTTAAAATAATTAAATAATTGTTTTTAGGTAATGATTGTTTATTTGTTGCAAGTTATTTTCCGTATGAGAATTATATGGATTATTTTAATTTTGAGGTAAGTTGATTTAATTATAATCTATAACATAATAAAAATACAGTTAATAATTATCAAATAGCAATAACATCATCTTAAGTAAGTTAAATACAAAGTTAACATAAATGAGTAACGATAATATGAATTCACATTTTATTCAAATACTCTTCCAAATCTAGTAAATATCTTCAAAAATATTCTAAACATTACATCATAGATCAATGCATTTTTAATAAAGGCTGCTCGCAATTTACATACGAACTAAAATATTCTCTGACAATTTATTGTAGATCGGTCTACTCAATGAGGTGTTTGTCTTTATGAATGTACAATATCCATATGTAAATGTGTAACATAACAAAGAAAGAAATTTCACGTTTATTTTCACATTTTAGTATTATGTTATTAATATTCATTATCTAATCCATGATATTGTGTAGATTTGTACAAAACAAATTACAATGTTTAACACATAATTCATTGCATTCTTCCAAAACACTATGCAGCACTGGAGAACAACACTACATCTCAGGGTTAGTAACACTTCCATACAAACAAATGAAATATTAATTAGGCGAGGAATTTTTCAAGGAGACTCCTTGAGTCCTCTCTGGTTCTGCCTAGCCCTGAACCCATTATTCAACATGTTAAACAACACGCAATATGGCTACAATATCAAACATGAAAAAACAACATAGTTTACGCTGTCACATCTCATGTACGTGGACGACATAAAAATTTATGCATCCACACAAAAGGATTTTGTGTGAACATCCCAGGATTTTGTTGACAAAACTGAGTCAAACAGCTAGTTAGATCGGGGATGCCTCTTTGGAAAGACGGAAGGATTCATGATTGCCATACAGGATCAAGTCATAAATACTAAAAACTACAGAAAACATATACTCAAAGATACAACACTCACAAATGGCACATGCAGAAACACACATCATGCCAGAAACTATACAACACA